AGTTGTTTATTTTATCGATGTCAGAAGCACCCACGCTGCAAATGCGGAATGGCGACCTGGTGCAACTCGTGTGTCGTTAACGAACACTATGACAACATCCCGTGCCTAAGCAGTAGTGAGTTCACTATGCAAGGTGACACAGACTCTGACGTTTTGAAGAAATTCTACGTGAACTCTCTGTGCGGTATCAGGTAGTACAAAAGAATTAGAAGACAGTAAAGTTAAAGTATCACTGATAGGGTAGGGTTGCTTCGTCCTGCGACCTTATATTATGGAGCGCCCCTCCATATCGTTACGTCTATCTACCGTGCTGCGATCACCACAACTACCCCATCTATGTTACCACCGTAGCCGTAGTTCCTGTTAGGTTTGCTTTTGGGGGTTTTACCCTTCATGAAATGGAACAAATCGCCTTGCCCTTAAAACCCATACTTCCTCTTTACTGTCCTGCCGACAGGTATGAATATAAAGTTAACGGGCGTGAAGTGGGCAAGGAGCGTTGCACCCCATGAATAAGACAAACAACAGTTCGCACCAGCCCTCGTGGCGCAGTCATGACATCACCAACATACCGCGCAAAACCCATCTGATCTTTCTGTGCATATCCGGTTCGACCTGACCGAGTTGCGCACACCAGCATGCACTCAGTTCGGAGTTGTTGCAAGGCAAGGCAACTTCGGCGACACTCTTTGGACGACGAAGATCCAAAGGGCATCGTATTTTGGAACTGATTCCCAATACCTCATGCATACCATCGAACGTTAGACATGCGCAACATCCTAAAGCTCTATGCTACAATGTACAACGCGCGTTGAAGCTGAAAAGCTTGTTCGTGCACCAAAATATGCCGAGGCCAAAGTCAAAGTCTGAAGTTTGGCTCCTCGCCGTGCATCTTCTCCCGCAGCAGGAGCTCGTGGTGGGTGAACATGTTGACGACGAGAACGAACCTGTTCATGGTGCTGGACATCTTCGATACGCACTGTCCCAGACCTATAGACGGGAGCAAGTATCAGTATCACTGTCAACATGGAGGCATTTACATGACGCTGGGTTACTAGTAACGATCTGTCAAGTTGTGACTAATTACCAACAACAACGTATTCCCTACAGATACGCATTAGGTTTGTTCACCGTGCACGAGTAAACGAATACTACGGAAGGTCAAATATAAATTGACTCGGACTTGATAATGTCAGTAAGTTTCGGCACAGCGTTTGAAAACCTAGGTTCCGGGTCGACCTACCTCACACGAATAATCCCATATCCACATCCGATACATTTACCGTGCAAGATCGAGTTGGACGATTTCACCCACGACGAATCCCAGCGAAACGTCGGCTCCCTGTCCCCGTTCGGCCCCCACACCAAAGGGTCATCCGTCCGTTCTGGCGAGCAGAACTCAGCGCACTCGCGGTCACGATGATGAAGCGCGTGGAAGCTTGTTGGACGAATAGGCGGCGGGCACAGAGGAGAAGTTGTGGCAGCAAAAGAGGCACGTACTTGGTATGGTGGTAACACGTAGCACTCTTGGCGCAGGAATACGTTTGTCAAAGTTCAGATTTGATGTCCACCGGCTTGCGTATATTCTACGCGACTGCGCTTCTTACATGTCGCTTTTTGCAAGACACCCTCACCTGTATCCAATGATACAAGGAAGTTTCCGTATGCGACGAAGAGGGCGACCACTCTAGGCTGCTGTGTGTAGTCGAAAAACGAGAGAGAGATAGAGAGGGAGAGAGGGAGAGATAGAGAGAGAGCATGATATTTGCAGAAACCAACAAGAGAGGACGCACACCCGCCATTACCTTAACACAGAGCGAATGAAAATGGCGCGCTGCTCATATCCCGTGCGTTCGTGTCTAAGATAGGCTTGAAGAAGTTCCCATTTTTCCGCTTATGTTTTTTTGTGTCACCCACTATCAACAACGACCAAGCATTTAACACACGGACGCTTGCTTGATTGAGTAGAATGCAGAGAGGCAACCACCACGATCTCAATTGGAACACGCAGAGCAACCTTTCCTTCGCAGCGATGGAGTCCATCAGGCTATTCTCATGGTTACTGCTGTTGTGGTGGGGGGTCTTCGCGTCTCCTCCTCTTATCACCTATATCGCTTACGGAAAGCTAAAGTACAGGATGGAACAAGCGGAGCCATGCCTCGACCGTAAAACACCTCAAAGCCGCTTTCAAGACTAGGGATAGGACGTCCCCCCGCCTTGAGGAACGTTTACATATAACCGTACCCATCGTCGTAAGAAGGGTGTCAAAACGTGTTGCGAGTGCGATCTCTATAAAGAAAGGTGTTTCACTACACTTGGTCCATAAGGCAAAATGAATGGCGAGTCTGGAGGAATACAACAAACGCGGCTCTTACGGGTCAACCAGGTTGATCGTATTCCCTCACGTAGGATCAACATACATGGTGATAGCCACCGTCAACCTCGGTGGCAGGCTGGCCCACAACCGAGCAGTCCGGACCAAACCGAAACAGAAGCAGTTCGACCGACGGGAACTGCAGGTCGAAGCAACTCGATGGGAGGTGACTACGCGGTTCCTCCTCAACCTCGACCAACAGCAGGGCGAACGAGCGACCACCACCCCGGAGAAAGCGACCGACTTCACCAATGCTCTCCTCGAAGCGGTGAGGGCGATACTACCCAAGGAACCGCGGAGACGACGCACGCAGGAATGGTGTGAGACCTGAGACAAGAGCAGCATTGGAGGAGGCCCTCACCAAACGGCGGGAAGCGCGCCGATCGGCGTGAGTGTTGCCATGTGGGCAAGAGTGATTGCGTGAGAAGACACGACGCAAGCAGTGTTCCTAAAGTCCAGCACGACAGACCGTGTGTACGAACGGAAATGTATGTAGTAAGGCCTCGTGAATGCCACCTACACCTACTCGTTTGGTTTGATTCTTTCAACTGTACGCGCAAGGGACATTGTGTCGGCCTTGATGCGGTGTCGGAAACTATGTACCTGTAAGCACGGTTTTACATGTAAGATAGATGCCGTCAACGTCAAGAAGCTTTTTGACTAACAACACATGAACCGATTGCTCTTCTATTACCCAACTCCAACAACGCCCTCGCACCGACCCCCTCAACCCCACGCAGCCTCGTCTCATCAAGAACTTACGCAGCATGCTCGCACCACGACACACCTTCAGAGGCCTTCACGCTCCTTCTGCGGCTGCTGTCGGAGCAATTCGATGTCGAAGATCGACAGGAGTCGTTTTTGCGACTTCAGCAATTTGGTGTTTCGAATGGAACCTTGTTTGCGGATTACCTTAGGGCGTTCCGCCTTTTGGTTTCTTCTGTGACCGGATCTGAGGGTGTTTGGCTCCTAGCGTGTCTATGGTGCTTGAGAGGGTCAGGAATTCTGTAAAAAACCAGTTTCCGTCTTTGGCTCCGATGCTGTACCCTGGTGACCTGGCTACGGCCGTGACACCATTTGACTCGATTGATGCAATGTGGCAGGCGTTCGCGCCTTTGGCCACCAACAAAACCCCCACTATAGGAGGTTCAGAGTGTTTCTCTTTGTCTTCCACGCCTGGTTCTTCGCAGCCCCGGCGTCCCCAGAACCGTGCAACTGCACTTGCGCCTTCGGGCCGGTGGGCACAAGGTTCTGCACAAAATCCTGTTGTTTTGGCAGTTCAGTCTCAGGGCGGCGGTCATGATCCGTTTTCCCGTGATTATAGTGCATGGCCCGCCACACAGGGCGATTGGTCGAATGTGTACCAAGTCAGTTCCTCTTTCCGTAACACCGGTGATCCTTTTTTGTGGACTCCTCTCTTGACTCAAGACGCTCGCTCGCAAGCGTTTCGAGAGAACCGTAACCGTTGTTTGAACTGCTCTGGTGATGACCATTCCATGAAACACTGCCCAGCTCCTTTCACAAATTCTAGCGGTCTGTTGAACCCAGAACCAGGTGAGCTGCACGACAACTCTGACGCTTTCCGACGTTGGCAAGGCCGTATGAGGTCTTACCGTCGCAAGCCACACACCGGTTCAGGTGCTGGTGGTGGGCGTAACAAGCGTCACTCTTCGTCTTCGCGTAGAAATCATGCAGGCGACTACCGTAACAACGGTAACTCCCAGAATGATGGTCGCAATAATGGAAATTTTGCTCATAACTCGCGACAGCCGTCCACAGACAACACCCATCACACTGGTGCTCTGTCTACATACCGACCGCAATCGTCGGTCCACACAGGCTCTCCTCCCGGCGCTTCTGTTTCGTCTAGCTACAATGCTAGACAGCCGGGAAATTTCCAATCTGGCGGTCAGAATGGTCACAATGCTCGTGGGTCCAACTGACTCGTCGGTGGCGGTTCGACACACACGCATTGGTTGTATGCATACTTTCCCGCCTGTAGTATAGGGGATCGTGTGACCTATGCACCCACTTCAGGCTACTCCTCTTAGAACAGCACATCGTGCGTGTGTCGCACATGCGAAAGAGACAGCAGGGGGAAAGAAACGTGCCTTGAACAGCATGTATGCAAACACACGTTGGGTTGGTCCTGCTGCTGTAGAGCGTGAACTCAACTGGCTGGTGTGTCACATTTTTAGAAAGAAAGAGTTGATTTTTTCCTGCTCGGCGCCCTGTGCGTGGCCACCAACAAACGAGAGAGGGACTAAATGAACGGCGCGTTCGCGTTTCGAGAGTTTCCCGCTCGGTTTGTGCGATGTCGTGTCGATCATGCATGCCCTTAAAATCATGTACGAGACAGCAGCCACAACTAACTATTGTAACTGCTTCTGCTCCTGCATCCGCCCAGCAGCACATGATGAAGCATATGCATAATGCTGTTGTGGGTTTCAATGCATGTATAGTACCAGTTTCACACTGTACATGTAATTCTGTAATTCTCTGCATCCCGCCTTCGGTCCGCTCTCGAACGTCTGCCGTTCACCTTCCGTCTCACCCAAACCTAACCATTGGTCGTCGCCCGGCTTTTTCTCTGCGCAGGGGGAAGATACCTACATACTGTAGCTCTTACACACAGATCAAGGGAGCCAGGTCGCCAGGTCGCCAGGAACGTGGCTCCAGCGCGCAGTGACTCTCTTTAAAACAGCACCGATTATCCAACCAGCATCACCCCAGCCGGCATTGGCATCATGGCCCTGCGACCGCATGATCCGCGATCGAACAACAACATGCGCGGGATCTCGGAGCTGCGCGTGCTCGTTCGTCACAAGAAGTCCTTGAGCACCCAGCAAGCCGCCGGCCGGGACAACCACCACCACCACCCCGAAAGCTACGCCACCAATGGCTTTGGCTTGAGTGCAGAGGAGGAAAAGAGGTTGGGGCTATCCACCAGAAACGCAGCCTTCGGCGAGGACAGAGGCAGCCTGAGAAGGAGGAGGAAAGATGGCTTGGCTGCAGCCGCGCACACCGGTGGCGGCGGCGGCGGTGGCGTCGACTTGAAGGGGGCAGCGACGCATTTTGCGTCCCATCCTAGCACTCCGCGGCCCCCTGCCGCTCCAGCTACTCCTCCTCCTCGTAGTACCTATTATGAATATTGCGTACGAGGAGGATGATTATCTCGCAGCAGTGTCAAGCCCAGCAGGTGGCGCGACCGCCACCGACGCCAGCGGTCTTCCCGACACCCAGCCACAGGTGGCGCGGAACGTGTCCTTCAGCGAGGAAGTCAAGGTAAGAGCCACCCCACGAAGTCTGCCACCATTTTTTTTTTCGTTTTTGATTTCCCGGCCGCACCTCTGTACTTCTGTAAGACCCTAGAGCTTCAGGTGAAGCGACCTGATCTACGAAGTACATATGTACAACAGCACTCGGTCCGCACGAAGAATGAGATCCCGGGCTTCGCTTTCTGTCTAGATCTATTGTATGCTACAAGGGGTCGGGGAAGGGGGGCGGGGGGTACACTCGACAGGCTGGTAGGATCCACACGATAACATAGGTGGACGTTTTGTTTTTTTGAGAGCATGGGTATGGAGCATGCAACTCTACGAAAATATCGTACCGCTTGCTCGTCTTGGTTGTTGGACGATGTCTTTGTTGAATTTGAGCGAATTAATGTAGCCGGTTGTGCACGGCGATTTGTAACAAAATGTGCCGCTGTAGCGAGCCCATGCGGGGTCACCTCCTGTGGTGGTGCCACAAGAAGTACCCACACCGGGCATGTGGCATGTACGACGTAGATGCACTTCACCAATTGCGCGGCCTGGCGAAGAATTTTCTGTCACACCTCGGCTGTTGTGGTGAATGGAGGGTATTTAATTCCCATTTAGTCAGCCAACCGCCTCAGATGTTCTCACTTTTTGCCGAAATACAGTGCAATACAAACACCTTGCTGCGGAGGTCACGTTCGTAGAGGATATATATTCATAGGTCTAGGTGAAACACCTTTCGCGCGGGACGTCAGGTACGATCGTCCATACAAGTAGATGCCTTGCGAAAGAGAATGGACAGTGTAGCCTCAGAATTGATCGGCGATGAGTACAGAGAACTGTATACCATGGTACAGAGCGTTCGTGCGTTCGAAACAGCAAGACATTTCGCAACGTGGAAGGCACCGCACCGTCGCCACCGGGTCTCTTGATCCTTCTATATCTGCGCTCCCGCCTGACCTTTGCACGCACAGGCTAGATCTCAACCATTTTTTTGCACCGAGACTTTATTCACACCCAGACCAACAGTTCGAGCTGTAAGATCCACAGAAGTCTCGGTTTGATTAGCGGAGAAATGACGAGACCGCTCTTTTGTCTTGTTTCCCACCTGAACTTCCTGCAAGTTGTATCTCCTCGGGATTACAAATGCGGGCTCACATATAGAGATTAAATGAAACCCTAACTAAGGCCATTTCTTACGGGTTTTTTTTGGAGTTGTCTTTTTCGTGTTTCCTTTTTAAAAAAAGACAACTGGCCACAGAACCCCTTCTCACGGTGTCTTTTTCAGGGGAAAAAGGTCAACAAAAACAGACAACCCGTTTTGGACAGCCCATCCTGTCTTTTTCTGGGGCAGTTTTGGATAAGTCGGGGCTGTCTTTTTCTGTGGTCTTTTTTTGGTCACAACCACATGATGCTACCTACAAATCTCTCGACGGGTGATCCCCGCAAACTCTAACGGTGTTCACACGAGCTGTGTCATGTGACTGGTGCAGAGTCAGTAGCATCAGCGATAGCGTTGTTTTTTCATTCGGCTGGACCAAGTGGACAACCCGATGTGTGCGGCGCAAACAAGCGGCAAACGAGCCGAGATAGTCTGGATGCAGCTGCGGGGGGTCTTTGTTGATGTGCTGTCAACTTTTGCGAACCCAACTTTTGGGCGCCCTATAGCCTCCTGATCTGTGTCAACCATCACACAAGACGGACCATACGCGCAGCTCATGGCGGATACCTTTGTCATCGCTGTTGCTGGAGTGGGTGGCGAGGGAGCATCGATGAACCAAAGTTGCGACACAGGTCAAAGAGCAAAAAAAAAACTGGTTGCTGGCGCGGTGGGTATTTTTCCGGCGTGCTGTTGACCCTCGCCACCTCAGTTTCCGTTCTCGCAGAGAAGCACCCTGTCAAGTCTCAGCCGCTCAGGTGCCGTCCTGCAGTAGCAGCAAGCAGGAGCAACGTAGGCTTCAACCTCGAACAATATAGTCACCTCTCACACAGCGCGATTTTTTTAGTTGCATTCCAAACCGCAACAGCGGTGTAGAGGAGATGGCGCGGATAGAGCGTAACACACGGCAACGTTTGGGCCACCTCCCAGCAGTTCGAGTGGCCTACAGCTCACGGTACGGGTGTTCTCCTGAACTTTGGGTAGGCAATAAAGTTGCTCTTTTTTTGGAGGCTGCTGGTGAACCTTTTGTCTCATACCACCCTCATCCACTCGGTTCCTTCCCCAGCGTTCACCACTTACCTACACACACATAGACGCACACCGCCCGCATCGGAGGAGAAGCAGGTCTGTTTGTCCAGTAGTGGTGTCATGAGGCTTGGACGAGTCTGTGCTGTATCCTGCGATGCCATCTATTGTTGTTTTCGCTCGACTCTGTTATACATCAAATAAATATCAAATACCTGACTGAGCGTTCTGAACAGGAACCCACGCCTGAGATAAAATGAGGTTGGTCAGAGGTATTTGTCGGAGCCGTGGGTGAAAACTGGGGCAACCTCAGACAAATAAAACCGTGTGCGCAAAGACTCCAAAAATTCGGACCCACTTTTTGTCTGAGCATTTTGTCTGACCCCAAAAAAAATCCGAAGGGGTCTATCATGTTATATATACAAGGGCTACGGACTTCGGACGCAGAGGCGCCCTCGTCCTCAGTAGTAGGCTTAAAGGGAAGGTGTGAAGGCTGTGCACAGCATACCAAAGGCATGAAGCCGCAGGGTGACCGAATGCACGGTGTCAACATGTTCGCGTTGTATTCGAGAAATGTGCCGTGCCCGGTGTAACATGAAGCCAAAAGAGTCGCGCGTACGTGATTTTTTGTCTAGCTTCGCCCGGTGCGGACGAAAAGGAGATATAAGCTACGGTCGCCTCCCTATTCTTGCGTCGGTAAGAACGTAGTAACACTCTCAGGCAACGTTCTCTAAGTGGCTTTGCTGTGGCCAATATCCTCCCCAAAGGGGCCAAAGAAAGAATGAACACTGCAACTGTTCGACGGTATTGCCGGTAGTTGATGGTACTGGTGTGTTGCCGCCTAGCTCTCATATTCAAACTTCTTCAGTGTCGCGCCTTTCTCTAATATCCCCCTCTAATGTTCTGGAGCTATTATTCAAGCTTTTTCGGTGTCGTCCCGCTCGAATGGTCATATTCTAACTCCTCCAGTCTAATGTCGCGCCCTTCTCTAATGTCCCCCTCTAATGACGCCGATATAATATGCGGTATCCCTCACAATGTGAAAGGAGCCGAATACCTACAACATTCAGACAAAGTAAGAACAAACACCGCACGCAGTGGTTTGACGGCGTTGCCGCTACTTGACGGTCAAAGAGTTGACGCCTCCCGCCTCGGGTCATCGCTGCCCCTTACGGCCCTGGTTGTTATTGCCGATTACCACTGCGGAAGGTATGGTTTCGTTTGCAGCCTTGTACGCAGGTCTCGAGCTTCTTAATGTTGAAGCGTGACGGTGATGGCCGCGATGATGTCGGTGATGGTGCAGGCGGTAGGGTGCCTGCGCTGGCGGCAGAATGCAATAATTGGGGAGATGGATGTAAGAGCGTGTACGTGTCATAACCGTATAATGTAAATTTGGAGCAGAAGAAAGAGGTTGTTCGGGAGGAGGTATTATGGAGGCATTCATAAAGTGGATGTTTTTCTGAGCATCAAAAATTCGTTTAGCTGCGATGATTTCTTCGACACGGAATCGTTCTCATAATGTTGTTGGAGGTCGAATATGCCGTGGTAAGCACGTCCATGCAAGGTGAGCATTGAAGAGGCTGGCGGTTCAGTCTATGTCTTTTTTTGAATACAGCCTGCGCCTAATGCAGTAAATCCGAAAAGCCCGTTGTATCGTGATATCACACCGTTTCATGGATTAATTGGTGGAAGCTAGTCAGAAGTTAATGAATTTCGTAGTTTCAAACAGCGCCATAAGATGGTGGGGGATAGATTGGAGGGGATGGATACACGACTTGCCTTTGTTACAACAATTTAATCCCTTTTCTTCTTTCCAAAGTGGAGCATTGCAGTGAGAACATGTGATATTTTGTGGATCATCCAAATCTGTGTGTTTTAGCTCAAAAGGTGCCGAGGGGAAGTCGAATGATTGCGAGTCAATGTCTTGCACTCCAAGGCAGATTTGGGTATTAGCATCACCGCGATGGCGGTCTAGACTGGGTGCCGGTAACCTTGGTGCACGATTCCTCATTTGGCTAAAATGTTGACGTATCATATCGAGTTCAGGGTCTGAGTCGTGTGGTGTGTTATTGTTTGCATTGCGACGTCTACGTCCCGCTAGGTAACTACGCACACACACGACTGGTCACTACACAATCACGTTCCGATATAAACGGGTGTACACATGATTTACCCCGATAAGGCTGGCGGGGGCGACGGTGACGTGCATGAACTCTTCTTGCCGTCCGAAGACTTGGCACCAGCGCAAAGACGCCACACCGCGTGGATAATATTCCACTCTGACAATAACAACAAGCAACAAGGGCATTGTTGTGGAGAGATTTAGCGGTTGCGGTTGCGATGCAGTTTTATGCCAGGCCTTCATGCAACACCTGAACAACATTCAGGCACACATCAGGCGGAGACTACTTGATACAATCAAAAGAGAGAACTTTCTTGTACCTTTGTAGCCGCGGCTGTTGACCTGGTCGGTTGGAATCCCGAGCGAAGGAGTACCTCCCATCGCCGCGAGGCAGAGCTGGCACGGCTTGGGGTACGTTGTCGACAGGGTGAGGATGGTGCAGGATACGCTACAACTGTCCGCGTCGCGGTTGTTGGTACGGTCGCAAGGGGCAAACTTGCCTTTATCGTCGCGCTTGTTTATGAGCTTGAGGTGACCGCCGTCGCAGTCGGGCCCGGGGCAAGGCCAGTTGGGGTCGCCGTGTTGTACGGGGCGGCGGCACAC